CCATACGTTGGCGTCATGGCAGCTCCCTGGGTAGCCGATAAAAACATCCAAGAAACGAAATGTGCTGTCGCATATGCCCTAAACATTGCAAATGTTTTATGTTTTTAAAATAGTTCTAGCTTAACCATCACCATATGTACATACCTGCATAATAATGGAATAGTTCCCCTTTCGGTCACAGTAGCTAATTGCATCCTTCTTCGGTGTGTTTATTTTAAAATGTGTCCCATCCAAACAGCCGACTATGAAAGGAAATGCATTCAACGCYCCATTATTGTTTGCTGTTGGGAAATTGATGGCCAACATATTTCATTCTTCAACTTACAGATTGCATTGATCGTTTTAAGAAAAATTTTGTGGACAGTCCCTTTTGAAACATCAAATTTATCTGATAATTCACGATAAGTGACTCTGCTGTTACTAAGCTTCCACAAGGTAATATGCAAGGCCTGATCCATTGAATATTCCCTTCGTAACGTTATCCAAAAAGGCTCCAAGGCGCTCTTCAATTCCTACGAAGTATATATTTATATATAAGTGTTTATTTAGGAGATTATTTAAATCAGAAAACTTACCGCAAATGTTTCACGAGACATCCGAAAATGTGACAAATATATGTCCGGAGGATAAAATGGAATTGTCTTGAAGAAGTTTTGCGATTTCACTATCGTCCAGTTTTTTTAAAATTTCAGTCAAAAGCCATTTCTTTTTACGCGCACAACTTTCTTTCCTTTTTTTTTGTATTTCAAAAGTAAAGTACTTTCACTCTCTACCTAATTATCATCTGTTAAATTTATTAAAAAATTCATTTTTGAAACTTTTTCACTTCACTTGTTCAATTCACTTGCACGCCGCGCAAACTATTTGCAAAATATATGCATAAGTATCAGCTGAGCATCTGCAAAAAAACATCAGGGTTGCAATATTGCCGCAGTTATTTGCTTGCTCGAACATGCCCATACTCTGCTGCTGAGCAAGATCTGTTCAGAGTAGCGTAGAAGGGTACCCTACAAGAATTGAATGATAGAAACTAACACAATAGCAATTTTCTCACTAACACAAATGCATAGACTTCAGAAATTWTTGTATACCTATCCACAAGTAAGAAAGAGACGATTCAGATTATTTTCTTTCGGGCTATGATTACACGTGCAAAACTGAAATAGCTGATATACACACAGTGTAGACATACATACAAGTTAACGGCAGCAGCCACCCAGACACTTTACGATGAATATAAACAAATTGTGTCTTCCCACAGTATTACTGCTTGGTCAGCAAAATACTTTAATTAAGAATAAGAAACTAATTTATCATTTGTTTTGATAATGAAAATAATTGGTAATTCAATGCTCTGGCATTTCACCAGTTAGTGTAATGCTAAAGCATCTTTAGTAATAAGCATATAGAATTGTAAGATTATAAATAGAAG